CACAGGCGGCCCAAACTCATTACATGAACGCGGACGTGACTCTTGCTTGCGAGCGGTGTTGTGTTACAAACGGTTATTTACAAAGGCTTGTATGGGATCGATCGGTTTTTCTTAAAAGAGATAAAAAATGTTATGTTTTTAAATAAAATCGACGTACCTTATTGCCTTGTTGTATTCTTTGTTGTTTACCCGCGTCTCAGGCCGTTTTGAAGCGTTTTCGGCGAGTTAGCGCTATTTTGGTGTTCCACTGCTAAAAGAAAGACAAGGCAGAACAGTGATTCCCGGAGTGTCCTTCGCTCGAGGCGAATAATTCCACGCGAAAATTACCCCCGGCCTCAATTCCTTCAGAAATTCAAAGCAGAGATGTTGTAGTTCCATGTCCATTCACTCGATTCGCAATTCCTCCCACAGATCGTTCACTAGCGATGCTTTCATCTCTTGCTCGATCGGCTTCACGATTTCAAAATAGGCTCGTCCAACCTGCCGTGGACCCGTTCACCGATCGCATAGTATGTCGGGTAACTAAAATAAGCCCCGTGAGGGTAGCCAGCGGGGCTAACGGGTTTGTTTGTTTGTCGAGTGCGGGCCGCTGTCTACCCTCACGGGGCTTATTTTAGTTACCCGACATACTATGCGATCGGTGAACGGGTCCACGGCAGTTTGGACGAGCCTATTTTGAAATCGTGAAGCCGATCGAGCAAGAGATGTTCTGCCTTGTCTTTCTTTTAGCAGTGGAACACCAAAATAGCGCTAACTCGCCGAAAACGCTTCAAAACGGCCTGAGACGCGGGTAAACAACAAAGAATACAACAAGGCAATAAGGTACGTCGATTTTATTTAAAAACATAACATTTTTTATCTCTTTTAAGAAAAACCGATCGATCCCATACAAGCCTTTGTAAATAACCGTTTGTAACACAACACCGCTCGCAAGCAAGAGTCACGTCCGCGTTCATGTAATGAGTTTGGGCCGCCTGTGTTTGGTTTAGTCTTTTTTGGTGATATATCACTTGTCTCAAAATATCAACACTACTTATTTATCAATTATTTATTTTTTTCCCCAATATCACCAGCTGACAGTAAGTGATGATTATTTTGAAAATAAAATAGCAATGAACAAAATGCTGGTCCAAAAAAACTTTGGAATGCTTCGCCATCCAGTCAACAAGGATATGTAAGTATTATTTTGCGGATTGCCGGCACATTTGAAATGATTTTAGCCTAACAGGTGGTGGGTGGTGGTGGAGTGTGGATTTGTTTTATTAGATATGTCAGAAAATCCTTAAAATGTGAGCCCTCAGGGTAACTGCCATTATAAGTCATTCAGCTATCTTTCAAACGATATTTCATAGTAAGTCATTTGGCTTATTCTGATCTAAACCTTCATTTAATTTGCAATAATAAAAATAATCTGACTGAGAGACTTCTTCCTCTCCAAATATAAGAAACATGGGAAATGATATGCCCAGGGGCCGACTCCTGGTAATCGGCTCCTATTCCAATTTTCAATTTTAGCACTGTGGCACATGTACCAACTCCACGGTATGGCCATTACGTTACGCATGCGCACAGCCATTTTACCCCAGCAGTGGCAGCCATGGTCAGCTGTTTCGCCCTTATTGAGGCTCATCAGCATAGCATAGCCGTCGGGTTTATGAACGGGGGAACTCGTGCATCAAAGAGTCTTTACTTCTGAGGCGAGTGCAAAGAAGCACTTCTTTTTGAGTGCCAGCTCCACCGTAAACAAGTAGTAGTTGTTAGTTGGGGACCGCAAAACAGGGGTGATGTGGTTGTGTGCATGCGTAAGGTACTGGCAATACCGCGGAGTTGGTACGTGTGCTTTCAGTGCTTTAATCGGCTCCTGTTCGTATAAAACGAAGCGTTAAAAAGTCCAAATGGTCCGTTAAGAATTTCTAAACTCAACAGCAAAATTTACTGCATCATCGTTAAGCTCCCTCGCATAGCATTTTGACTTAACTTACCTTACATATTTTTATATAAATGCCATTTTAGGTGGCCGGAAGAAAACCCTGCAGTAGTCAATGCATTTTACTATACACAGAAAAATACAATAGGTATGTGGGAGTTCCCTCCGTCCTCGGAATTTTGGTAAGCCCTTTCTGGAGATCGATAAAAAGAAAAATGTTCACAATTCACCAGTAAACGAAATTTTTCGTTACCAGCTCGCAACATCTTACAGTTGACGAGATGAAAAAAGAAAACAAATACACAAAACAGAAATTAGAAAAAGAACTTTTTATATAAAATAGGGTTCATAATGACCACCAATCTCAATCCACAATATTAGTAAAATCAATAGTTCTCCTCTA